CATTCAGATTAAGACAGACTAGGAAGAAGGATTGGGCATCCACTTCTGAAATTGCAGGCTTCTGAAAACCCTATGTACAACTATGTACAATATGACTAGCAAACAAAAATCTTGAAAAGTGATCTTTAAACCCTACCTTGGGATAAGTTGAGTTGGCATGGGAAAGAGCTTTCAGTAGATAAGAAAAGTGGCCAATCATGTGAGAAACCACCTGGATAATGCCACTCTGGAAAGCAGTTTGGCATTTCCTCAAAAAGTTGAACATACACACTCCTATGTCCTGGCTATTCCACTACCAGGAATATGTTGTTGTTGATTGTCACTGAGTCAAGCATGACGACTCATAGCAACCCTAAGAACAAAAGACCTGAAGCCTTTATATCATTATCATTGTTTCTCAAAGTATAGAGTTTCTAGAGGCATGTTGTTTAGAAGTGGATGCCACTTCTGCTTCCAAACTAGGAATATACCCCAAGGAAATTAGAACACAGAGACACAAATAGAGATTTGTACATCTATATTCATAGCAGCATTCTTCACCATTGCAAGAACATGGAAACAGTCCAACTGTCCAACCACAACTGAGTGGATTGAGAAATTGCGGTACATTCACACAGTGGAATGCTATGCAGCACTCAGGAGCCATGACTGGAGAGCAGTATGTTGAGTGAATTCACTCTGTCTCTTTTGCCTCAAGGACAAATACTGCATATGACCATTACTGTAAAAATAGACGGATAACTAGCAAAACATGTTTAAGGACCCATGGGGGGATGGGTAGGAACAGAGGGATGAGGATAGATGGAGAAAATCACAGGGTTGCACAATTGGATGGGTAGAGGGGGGGAGACAGGATAATGATGGACATAGTCCAATGATGAATGTGAATGAAGAATAGAGTGAAACACAATATATATGAACTTTGTAAGCAAACCAATGTTGTTGTTGTTAATTGCCTACACGTTGAGCACGACTTACAGCAACCCTATGAACAAAAGGCCTGAAGCCCCTCTACAACTATTTGTCAAAGTTCAGAGAGTTTCCAGAGACATGTTATTTAGGAAGTAGATGCCACTCCAAGCAAATCAATATAAAATAATTGTTTTTAAAAAAAGTTTAGACATCTATGCCTGTTTCTGTTCTCCTTCCTGTTGGCTAAAATAAGATGAACACTGGTGTGACTCAAAGGGAAGCCTACAAATTGGGGCCACCCTGCAAACCACGGGACCATGTAATATAAGTACAGTCATTGAGAAAGAGTGTTTGAAAATTCCGATTTTATTTTACAGATTAATATTTATTTGTTGAATCTACTAATAAAAAAAACTTGAGTTCAGAATGGAAGTGGGAGGAATACAACAATGGAGATAAAGGTTGAACTTGGATGTGTTCCTTCAGTGCTGCCCAAGACCCTAGATTGTTGAGTTGACTTGGCGCCATTTGAGGCTAGAGCTGAGTGAGGAGAACAGTAGCTCTGGAACACAGGGAGAAGTGTGGACTCCTAAGCCAACAGCCGATGCCTATTTGAACCTGGCCACTAGGGATGAGGTGACCAGAACCCAGCCAGATGAACCAGAGGTGACCAGAACCCAGCTCATGTTGTGAGCGAGTGTCAATTGCTGCAAACTGATGTCTAGCTCTGGACTGAACTTCGTGGATGCAAATGCTCAAAATTTCTATGTTGAACAGAGGATTCCTTAGAGTATTGGTTTGATGATGTTGTTGCTAAGTGCCATCAAGTTGAGCATGACTCATAGCGATCCTATGAACAAATGATCTGAACCGTATTCTATACCTATCATCGTTTCTCTAATGTTCATAGAGTTTCCAAAGTGGATGTCAATCCTGCTTCCAAGCCTGTCATAATCTGGGAGCTCTACCAAACACCATCTGCCATAGGGATGGGCAAATCAGAAATTGACTATCTCAAAGGGGAATATTTGGCCATGAGGCATGAAGTAGCTGGCTTAGATGCTTTTACAAATGTAGTTGTGAGTAAGATGATTCTAAGGGGGGAACTCACAATACACATGAACCAATATAATGTAAATCAAAGATGGTATAAAACAACGTGCATGCATAAAACACAATGTATATGAATGATAAAAATATTAATAAAAAAAAGACTTGTGTTTCATACATACTTTCATTTCCATTTGAGTCCCTATAACATCAAAACATTGATAGGTTGGATGGGGGGAGCATGATCTTTTTCTCAATATATTGAAAAGAACTGAGAGACAGATTGAAATCCTTTTGGTTGCGCAGTGGATTAAATATTGAGCTGCTAAAAGTTGGTGGTGGTTGTTGTTAAGTGTCGTTGACTTGTAGATGACTCATAGTGACCCTATGAAGGAAAGACCTAAACACTTGTACAACTTTCATCCTTTCTCCACATTCATCGGGTTTCCTGAGGCAAGCTAGTTCAGAAGTGGATGCCACTCCTGCTTCCAAGCTTGTTTTAACAGGCCAAATTGTTCAGATGTTCCTCACTGGAAAAACTAGGCCATCTGTATCTATAAATCCTATTGTCTTAGAAACTATGAAATGAGTCTCCTCTGTGCCTCAGGGCCACTCACTATGAGTCACAACAGAATCAAAGGCAGTCAGTTTGCTTTTTTTTATTCAGGTTTCATATTCTACCTGACTAGTTAGGCTTGATACCATTGCTATATGGACAGAGCTAAAATTTTAGGCAACATGAGATTCACTTAAAGTTCATTTTATGAGCTATTTGACGTCATCAATAGATATGGTTCCTCTATCTCACTTTTAATATTACTGTGAAATGGAGTGACCTTGTCTAGAAGTTTCAGGAGGGGAAGGGATTTGGAGACCCATTTAAAGAACAATATGGCCAATGAATTGAGCAGGCGCATCTCTGGTCTACATGGTATTGAATACCGCTTAAAACCAATCTACAATTCAAGACAAGTCAACCCTACTAGATGAAGTATTATCCACAAATGTGACAAATCAGAGAGAACTCAAACATGAAAAAAGCCAAACACAAAAGAACACATGATGAATTTTCGACTCATGTAAACTGCCCCCTGAAGGTATAAAATAGCCCAGGGGCACAGATAGGGGTGAGGAGTGACAGAAAACAGGCATGATTTTTGGTTATTTTTATTAGAGTGGTGAGGATGTGCTAAAAACAGGTTGCTGATAGTTCCACAACCTTGTTAACATACTAAAACTCATTTAATCATGCATTGGAATGAGCAAATATCATATAGAAATACCTGAATAACTCTTTCATGGATAAAAAAAAAGATACCAGCAAGTAAAATGGCAGACTTCTGTCAGTTACCCACAAACATCTAAAAATGTGAGAGAGCAAACAACAAATGCTGCTGATGTTGTGGAAAGATTGGAACCCTTATTCAGTGTTGTTGGAGTGTAATTATACAACCATTCTGGAAGGTAGTATGGTGCTTTCTCGAAAAGTTGGAAATGGAAATACCTTTTGACCCAGCAATTCCATTACTGGGAATATATCCTAAAGAAACCAGAACTTCCACCCAAACAGATATACACGCTTATGTTTATTGTGGCATTGTTCACAATAGTAAAGAGATGGAAGCAACCTAAATGGCCATCAACAAATGAATGGAGAAGCTGTGGTATATTCAAACAATGGAATATTATGCAGCACTGAAAAACAAGGAACTCAAAATATTATTCAAAATGGGTGACCCTGGAGGACATTTTGCTGAGTGAAATATCTCAGTTACAAAAGGACAAATACTGCTTAGTGCCACTGTTATAAAACAGGACTGATATGGGGGTTTGGGAGGAGAATAGAATAAGAGTGGATTGATAATGACCATTGCATTGGAACAGATGAGGGAAAGAATTGTTTAAAGGGAATATATGATTAAGTATTATTTGCATGACAATATTCCAGAATAAAAGGTACATAACAAAGTGGAGCAGGAGGCAGGGAGAGGGAGGAAATTGTGCAACAATGAAAGAATCTTTTTAAAGAGAAAAGTGAACTTGGGGGTGGGGGGAGTAGGGAGGAAAATGTGCAACAATGAATGGATGGAAATTCAAGTCTTCTATAAACTTTCATTAAAGTATTAATAAAAAATTAAAAAAAAAACAAACAAACATGAGGCTAAAGCTCTTAGCCATCAATGTTTTTCATGTGTAGCTATGTTGGTGACGAAAACGATGTTATGTGGACCACTGATGCCTGGCATGAAATAGAAGTTATTATTTCTATTTCAACAGTGAGGTAAGTATATTCCAGATGGAGATAGCATTATACCAAAAAGGATAAGATGGTAAGTGGAATAGTTGAGATTCTTGCCAATGTTGGTTTAAGGGAGATTTTTTGGAGGGGGTTTGCTTTACAAAAAGGCAGATTATTCTCACTAAAGCAGTTTAATTACTAATCTGTTTTGCAGGGATTCCATATAGTGTCTATTCTTCATTGGTGCTCTCGCTCACACACACACACAGAGCACTATGCAAACCAGATTAAGAAGTGTGATCTTGTGTATAACACACATGCTCATATAGATAATCATATTCTATCTGTCTTTCAACGGCACTGGCCAACATTAACTATATGCAAGATGGATCATCAGGGTATTATTCTTTTTAAGCAGTTAATGGGGGAAGAACACCTTTCCTTTATCAAAATTAAGTAGATAATAGTTATAGGTGACTTATGGAATAAGGTGTATTTGTGAAAAATATTTTTATCACCAATTGATGAGATTTTGCCCTCTTTTAAGCATTCTCTCCAGCCAGTGGAATAAAACTTGGAATATTATTTCTGCTAATGTGCCGGAACCTATTTTCTAATCTCCTGAGCCTCTCCATCTCAGCGGACACGAGTTGTGCCAGTTTCAAAGGCAGCACTTTGGAGAAGGCTTGATAGTGTTGGAGAAATACTGTACCTGTTTGTGGTGCAGGTCAAGGACAAAAATGAGAGGAGGGAGCAGCCACATGTTACTCAAAGCAGAAGCATTCATCAGGATTCTCACCTGCCAGTGGAGGATTATGTTCCAAATCAAACCAAGGGTCAGTTTATGGTTTCCATCGACTATGTCAGTGCTCCCAATATTCACTAAATCAACCTGGTGAAGAGAGGAGAAACACATTTGAATGAAGGAGACCAAATGTCTATTTGGAAAGAAAACAAAATGGCAAAGTAATTGCATTTAGAGATTTTCAGAGCTCAAGCAACACTGCACTTGCATTCTTTTTAATCATTTGAAAATTCAATAATTTGAAAATGGTGCAAAGTGTAAATGCACTTTCCCTAACAAGTGCCTGAGCACATTTACAGTGAGAGAAAGGGGGTGGGGAGTGGACTAATGCACTTGTAGCATATGAATAGGTAACTGTTGATTCAAGAGGCCAATCTAGGTAAAGTGATAAGGATAACTCCTTCAGGATGCCTAAAATTAACATTGCTTTGTCAGTATAGAATTGAAAAGGGAAATTTTATCTGTGATCTACTACACTACCATCGAAAGTTCTATTATAATTAGGGTTGGCTATATTTTGCTGAAGCCAACCTGATTTCTGAGGGGAATACATAAATATATACATATTTTTCTCCTTCCTGTGTATGGTGGAAATCTGGTAGACAAGTAAAACGGAAGTAATAGAACAGAATAAAACTTCATCCTCTCAGAGGTCAAGAAAACCAAGAAAGTCCCATTGAGTCCCAGATGGCACTGGCTTCGCTGCATTAGAACACACCTAAGCAGTGAATCCAATCGCCAGCTCTCTGTCTTGCACGTCTAGGCTTGAATTTGAAAAACAGAATCTCTTTTGTCAAGGCAAATCTTTGTGCCTCCTCCCTGTCACATTCTTACCATTTTTAGGTCACGTGGGAAAGAAGGATCAGGCAGATAAACTTTGGGAAAAAGGGATAACATCACTGGTTACTTCTTGTTGTTAGGTCCCATAAAAAAGACTACAACTCACAGAGACCCTGGGAACAGCAGTTTGGAACTTTCTCCTGTCTTGCCTTATATGCAATCTCTTTATTATTCCAGTCACTGGGTCAATAATAGAACAGCCCAAATTAAAATCACTGTGAGATCATTACACACCTAGATAGTGCTAACACTAAATGGAACCTTCATTAATCGCAGGTGGGAAAGCAAATCAGTGCAGCCATTTGTAAACAAAACAAAACAAAACAACCCCCTCCCCCCCCCAAAAAAAAACAAAACCAAAAAACAACCTAATAGTTTCTTAGGAATCTAAAACACCCATTACTGTATCACTACCTTCAGGTTGATTCTGACCCAAAACTACCATTGGGTTTCGGAGGCTACCAGTCTTAATAAAACTTTGCCTATCTTTCCAGACTGCTTATACCAAAGGTGTTACTCATTGATCCAAGGAAGATGAAATCGTTGACAGCTTCATTTCTTCCTCCATCTATCATAATTTAGACATAATGTGACTAGTGTGAGAACCTTTGTTTTCTTCATGTTGAGATGCAATCCATACTGAAAGCTGAAGTCTTTGTTCTTCTGTAGCAAGCATTTCAGATCCTCCTCACCTTCAGCATGCAAGGTTGTGTCATCTGCATAATGTAGGTTATTGATGAATCTCCCTCCTATCTTTCTTTCACATTCGTCTTCATAGAGTGCTGCTTCGCCAATTATTTGCTCAGCATGCAGAACAAATCGGTATGGAGAAAGGATACAATCCTGAAGCATACTCATCTTGATTTTAAACCATGCAGTGTTTTCTTGTACTGTGAAGATGAAAGCTTTTTGGTCTACCTATAGATTGTATTTGAGCAAAAATAAGTGTTCTGGGATTCCCGTTTTCCTCAATGTTAGCCATAATTTGTTATGATCCACACAATCAAATGCCTTTGCAAAATAAAACACAATTAGACATTGGTCAGGAATTCACTCCTGTCAGTATCCATCTGACATGACCAATAATCTCTCTCATGCTGGAGCTTCTTCTAAAACCAGCTTGAACTTCTGGTAGTGAGTCAATGATCATTCCTATGATGGAACTACTCTGTATCTTGAGTTTACAGTGGATACACAAACCTGTTAATGTGATAACATTATATCAAACATATCCATTCTCATGTTGTTGTTGTTATGTGCCGTCGAGTCACTCATAGCGACCCTATGTACAACAGCCCTAAACCCTGCTCTATCCTGTGCCAATCGCATTGCCTCTGACACACCCA